CTCCAAATTAAGAAGTCCTGCTCTAAATTAGCCATTCAGATCACATACTTCCCCTGTATTCTGCCTCCTGTCATACCAGTAACCATGTGTGTAACTCATTAGACACAAATTAAGGTGTATAGACAATTTGGGAGAGCCTTTGTAAACTACATGGCCTTAACCAGACAACGGAACGCTCACATTAAAGAGAAAACTTAAAATGAACCAATATTAAGAGCTACCCTCTACTCACTGAAGGCCTACTGTGTGCCAGGCACTGACCCAGGTGCTTCCTATGAGCAATCTCCAGTCCTCACAACTCATTTATGCACGAATTCATCTTTCCATTTCATTTTCACACCAGGCATGATGCTACGCGATGCAGACACAATGGTGGGAAATCACCATTGTGATAGGGTACCTGTCCTGGTGGAGCTTACCTTTAAATGGGAGACAAATATATTAATCAAAGATCACTCATGAAAATCTAAAATTATGGGTCAGGTCTGGTGGCTCACGCCTGTAATCCCAGCACTTTGGGAGGCTGAAGTGGGTGGATCACCTGAGGTCAGGAGTTCGAGACTGGCCTGGCCTACATGGCAAAACTCCGTCTCTACTAAAAATGCAAAAACTAGCTGGGAGTGGTGGTGATGCATGCCTATAATCCCAGCTACTCGGGAGGCTGAGGCAGGATAATCATTTGAACCCAGGAGGAGGAGGAGGGTGCAGTGAGCCAAGATCATGCCATTGCACTCCAGCCTGGGCAATTAGAGTAAAACTCTGTCTCAAAAACAAAAGAAGGGATACACAATGCTATAAGAGCTCATACCAGGAGGAATAAACCTTTTTATAGAGGTCAGGGAAGGTTTCCTTGAAAGAGTAAGCACTTAATAAAGCAAAGGGGGGGTGTGGGAAGGAAGAGGTAGAAGTAGAGAGAGAGAAGAGAGTTCCAGGCAAAAAGTGCATGCAAAAGCCATGTGGCAGGGAACACGATGACTTGGGGCTGTATCCCCATGGGGGCTGGGCCACACAGACTCTTGTAGGCCATATTAAAGAATTTAGCCCCTTTTCTTAGAGCACAGGGTAGAAGACATTCAGGTGTTTCATTATGGTAGTGACATGATCAGATCTGCTTTTCTAAAGAAAACTGTGAGGATGATGTGGAAATGAACGGGAGAGGCCCAGAGGAGACACAGGGAGGCCTGTTAGGAAGCTGCTGCAGTATAGCAGAGATTGGGGTGGTGGCAGAAGAAATGCAAGGTGGCAGGCTGAGAGATGTTCAGACATGAAATCCCAAACACATGGGGTGGTAGGGGGCAGACAACTGTCCAGCAGGATGACCAGATTTCTGCCTCATGTGATAGCATCATTCTGAGCCAGTGAAGCCAGAAGAGAACCAGCCTTGGGGCAAAGATTATAAGGTGCAGAAGGAGGCTGGATAATGTGGCCTGGGATCCAGAGGGAGGTTCAGGAGGTTCAGGGAGAAAATTGAATTACTTGTGAGGAAACGGTTTTTGGAGTTGCAGGCACAATGAGATAACCCAGAAGAGAACTACAGGTTGAAGAGAGAAACTCAGAGGGACTCCAACATTTCTCCATCCTACACGTGAGGACACAGGGCTCAAAGAGAAGTGACTTTTCAGGAAACAAAGTGCTAGTAGGAGGAGGAGGAGGCAAAATCGAGTAAAACGTGAAGCCAGAGCACAAGTGCAGGAGTTCATACTGAAAAGAATGTCTATTTTTAAAAAAGAGGGTGAAAACCTTCAAGGAAACGCCATGGCTCAAAGGGAAACTGGAATTATGCTAAAGAGAGTGAACAAGATTAATGCAATAAAAGCAAGAACCACTGAAAATGATGACGTCTAGATTTTATAGAAGTTATTTCTTTGGGGTTCTGCCCTGCCCCCTGCCAAAGACTTCTTTATTTTTTACTGGTCCACAATTCTCCCTCTCTCCTCCCAGAATTCTCATATCATGTGTCTCTTAAGTGTCCAGCATTACACTAAACATTGAGGATGCAGAGTTGGGACAAACAAGATTCTATGCTAAAGTTGCTCACGGGCTGACGATATGTGGCAGGCAGAAAAGCAAATCAACAATTACTTTGGAGAGCAGTCAGTGCTAGGAGGGAGGCTGCTACCAGAACACAAAAGAGAGACATGAAATGGTACAAGCAATCAGCCAGTGCTTCCCGGGTTGATGAATCAGAAAGGTGGGTTAGGCAGCAGCCAGGTGACAGAAGGGAGACAGAGAGATGTCTGAAGGCAGAGAGATCGGGGGAAAGCATGTGGCATTTGGAGGGCATAGGTGTAGCCAGAGCACAGGATGTATCTTGGGAAATATCACATGAAGCTGGAATGATGTACAGAAACCAGAACTGAAGAGATCTCAAATGCCAAGCTAAGCAGTTTCAATGTTATCCTGAAGTCAACTAGAACCCGAGAAGGGTTTTAAGTAGAAGAGTTACATGATCAAATTTACACATAAATGCACTTGAGCAGCAGTGTGGAGGAGAGATGGGAACACTCAGGGCCACAGGAAGGGAGGGCAGCATGGAGACTATGAAACTCCTATGAAGCTGTCAAGCTCCAAGGCTTCTGGTGATCTTTTATACAATAAGATAAGGCATAGACAACCAATCAAGGTATCACCCATATCATTTCTTTGACCTTATCTTCCATTACTTGAATTTCTAGTTAACTTTCCACAGGTCAATGTCTCATCTCCTCTAGAAGACCTTAGGTTGTGTGATAACAAGTACTATTGTATCTCAAAATTTCTGGCCCATAAAGAGGTGTTTATGACATGCGCTGAGTAATTCCTGGCTTTCCTGAGATACAACCCTAACCAAGTGAAAGACAATGTGCCTGAACCCAACAGGCAGGGACAGGGACTGGTGAATCCCCCAAAGCACTTCAGAGGAGACCCCAAAGATATGTTGTCTTTCAAAATATGCTGCTGTTGAAACATAAAGAAAGAGGATACATACTGAGTATCTGCTATGTGCTGGGCATTTTATTCACATTATCATGTTTAATCCTCACAAAACCTTATAAGGAGGTAGCATTTCCAACATTTAACAGATAAACTAAGGCAAAGAAAAGTTATGCCGTTTCCCCAAGGTAAAGGGAATGATAGAAAGGGCATAGGCTTTGGAATCAGACAATGTGGTCATGTGACTTTGAGTCTCAAATAGAAAATGTAGATACTAATTAACTAACCCTAATAACTAACACCTGTTTCATAGAGTTATTATAAAATGATCAAGTACGTGAATGTCCCTTTTAAACTAATTATAAAGCACAATTCAAACTCTTATTATTTTGGTAGAGTTGCACTTTGGGGAGGACCACTTATTTACCACATACAACCTGACCTACAGTGGCTTCCAAACACAGGCTATTTAATCCTGCCTGCTATGGACAACAGAACTTCATACTAGATTAAACTTTAAATTATTAGTGGTCTTACTGCTATACTAATTTAGCTATAGTTTTGTGAAATCACCTGGGGAAAGAATTTTAATAAAAATTCAATCTTCAGTCCTCAATTTAAAAAGGGCTACCTCTGAAAAATAAAATGTAAATGTAGTTGACTTTAAAATGTGCTTTAAAAAAAAAGTCATCCGAAGTTCGGGCTAAGGAATAATCAGACCATCAATTAAAGGTTTCTCTTTTTTCAGCTTTGATATATTCAGATGGCTATGGAAATGATTCTACTTGATTTCACAACTTTATAACCCTCATAAATCTTTGTTTTTTTTTAATTCATAATCTCCTGTATGACTATGACAACTTCCTATATATCTGATCACTTCTAAAAGACACTTAACAGTACTCTTTCATTCATTCAAAAGAATTTTATTGAGAGCCTCAGACAAGAACTAGACACTATGCAGACACAAATTCGTAAGACTTGGGCCCTGCCCTCTTGGAGCTTACAGTCTAATATGGCACAAAAAGGAAATTGTGCAAAGTACTAGACCTGCAAATGAGGATCAGGGAATAAATGCAGTGACTTCAGATAGGGATAGATCATATATGGCCACACCATGAACATGCTTCACAGTGAAGATAGAATTTCAATAAAGACAGAGAATTTCTTAGGGTTTTCACAAGTAGAATATGTTTTTGGAAGATGATACAACATAAGGAAAAAGAAAGACACAAAAAAAGGTTTTAGGTGTATTTGATGGGAAAGGGGCAGAGATTTTGGAGAAAGATAAGATTAGCTGGAGCAATACTTTATGAGGAAAATAGTGGAAAATAATGCAGGAAAGGTAGCTGGGAGTCAGAAGGAAGACACCATCAGGATCTTGGTCAACAAATGACATACTAAATGTAGGTAGTTCAAGGAGATTCTTCTATAGTAGTGTGGTACAAGATGGAAACAAGATTCTAAGTGTCCAGGAATGTGATACAAGGAATAAAAATTAAAACATAGGGATAAAATACATCAGGAGAGAAAATGGAAATAGCTTTAGCACTAACAGAGAGTAAGGTATCAGCCGGGCGCTGTAATCCCAGCACTTTAGGAAGCTGAGGCAGGTGGATAACAAGGTCACATGTTGAAGACTAGCCTGGCCAACAAAGTGAAACCCTATCTCTACTAAAAATACAAAAAGTTAGCTGGGTGTGGTGGCAGGAGCCTGTAATCCCAGCTACTCAGGAGGTTGAGGCAGGGGAATCACTTGAACCCAGGAGGTGGAGGTTTCAGTGAGTTGAGATCACACCACTGCACTCCAGCCTGGGCAATAGCACAAGGCTCCATCTCGAAAAAAAAGAGAGAGATAGTAAGTTATCAAAATTACTCTGAGCTGTAGCAGAGCTAGAAAAATCTGGAGGAGCTGATTCAGTAACTGCAGGGGTGGAAGAGGGTAGAGATAAGGAAATGTTCTTAAACATTCTTTGAAGGGCTAAGGAAATCTAAACAAGTTTGAATTTTGCAGTGGTCTATTGCAACATGAACATCAGATTTTTTTAAAAACTATATAATAAAATGATACTCAAAGTTTATCTGACCTTTGTCCTTTGACCTTGGAAGAAATCACTGTAGCATTTAAGCAAGGAAACCAGCACTGTGTTCTCATCATACTTGATTAAGAAGTAAGGAAGAGCTGTGACTCCTTCTGTTTGACAAAGATTATCATATGCACACTCAAGTGCTTGAATCTGAAAACATAAAACACACAGTTATTCTCTAGAAGATTACATATCTAGTTCTGGGCTCAAAACTAACTCAAAATAAAAGGTACCTTAAAACCAGAAGACTGGAAATGACTGATCACACTCGTTACTCTATTACAGCAAATGAACATAGAAGTGCCTCCAAATAATACCACTTAGCTTTTTTATAACACTTCCAGGGGCATGATGGTGTATGTCTTAGGAGCACAAAGGGACATATTATGGTACAACATGGTGGTTCCCTAAGTTGTCAATCAGAGGTTTAGAGCGGTAAGCAAACATTCTTTTTTTCCTATGATAACCCAAAATGAATCTACCTCTGTTGAATTTTACCCTGAACCTTTCCATAATCTTCAACAGATTTACTGAGACATGACTAACATACCATACAGTTCACCCACTTATTACTTTTTGAGACAGGGTCTTGCTCTGTTGCCCAGGCAATCACAGTTCACTACAGCCTTGACCTCCTGGGCTCAATCAATCCTCCTGCCTCAGCCTCCTGAGTAGCTGAGACTATAGGCACACACCACCATGCCCAGCTAACTCTTTTGAATTTTTTTATAGAGACAGGGTTTCACCATGTTGCCCAGGCTGGTCTTGAACTCCCAAGCTCAAGTGATCTGCTCACCTCTGCCTTCCAAGTACTGGAATTACATTACAGGTGTGGGCCACTGTGCCTGGCCCAATTCACCCATTTAAGGTACATAATGCAATGTGTTGTTCGGGTTTTTTTAGTATGTTCACAGGGTTGTGCAACCATCACAGCAATAATAAATATAGAACTTTTTTTTTTTTGAGATGGAGTCTCACTCTGTTGTCAGGCTGGAGTGCAGTGGTGCGATCTCCACTCACTGCAAACCTCTGACTCCCAGGTTCAAGCAATTCTCCTGCCTCAGCCTCCCGAGTAGCTAGGACTACAGATGTGCACCACCACACACAGCTAATTTTTGTATTTTTAGTAGAGTTGTGGTTTCACCATGTTGGCCAGGATTATCTCTATCTCTTGACCTCGTGATCCGCTGGCCTCCGCCTCTCAAAGTGCTGGGATTACAGGTGGGAGTCACCGCACCCAGACAACATAGAACATTTCTGTCCTCAACAAAAGAAATCCAATACGTGCTAGCAGTTAATTCTCGTCCAAAATTCTTCTTCCCCACTTATATTTCTTCATGGGAAATTAGTTCCACAAAGCCACAATCTTGGATTTGTACAAAATAAAAAAAATTTTTTAATCAATAATGGCTGCTCCCTGAACAGCTCTATGGAAGCTCCCTGAATGATGTTCAGTATTCAGGGCTTTAGTGATTGAGGTGTTTCATGAATTCAAATCATCTTGATATATAATCTTTGCCTTAATACAGTAAGAATTCTCTAGTTTCGTTTCTCTGTTCTACCAGCCTGATTATTTTAACTGCTCTTCTGGGGACCACCTGTAATGACCTTAATATCTATCCCAAATGTCACTGACTAAATCTGTATGTATCACTCCAGGTAGAAAAGTTCTGCAACTTGGCACCAGAACAGGAGAAAGCCTTTTGTTTTGTTTCAAAGACTCTTTCCCAAAGTATATTGCCTTATGTTTCCCCACATTGAAATTGAGGATCACGTTTTAGTAAATTATTTCGGTGTTTCAAAATGTTCCTAAAATTCCCCCTTACTGGCTTAGCATTTCACCAAATACCACTGAAAACCTGGAAAATTACATCTTCAAAATAACTTTACAGACCAGACAGGGTGGCTCATGCCTGTAGTCCCAGAACTTTGAGAAGATAAAGCAGGCAGATCGCTTGAGCCCAGGAGTTGAAGATTAGCCTGGCCAACATGGCAAAACTCCATCTCTATTAAAAGACAAACATTAGACAGGTGTGGTGGCACGACTGTAGTCCTACATGCTCAGGAGGCTAAGATGAGAGGATCACCTGAGCCTAAAAAGTTGAAGCTACGGTGAGCTGTGATTGTGCCACTACATTTCAGCCTGGGCAACAGGAGTGAGACCTAGTCTCAAAATATGTATATACACACAAAAAATGACTTTACAAACATTATCTAAATAAGTCTGCTCCTAGTACCACCTTTGGAGGATTCCAGTTACCATCTCTTCAACCTGAGAAGGAACTGTTTGTCTTTGGCAGGAACTAGAAAACTACTCTTGCACATTCAACCCAATTTTATGTGTATTTTAGTTTATTTGTTGATACCTGTTTTAGTGAAAATCTTTGATCCAAACCCACTGGCCCCTGAATGAGAGGTAAACTCTCTGGAAGACAGAGGGCAGGATAGCAAAACCAATAGTAGAAGTGGTACTTCTTTAGATCCTAGAATAAAAAATATAAATAGGTTATTAGAACAGCACCATTAAGTTAAGCTGAAATGCAACTATGTAGCTTCTCAAAGCCAATTAAGATATCAAAGCTGATGCAAATAAAATATGTCCAGCTTGTCAAATATCCTCATCCCCAACAGAACTCAAGTTAGAATACAGGACTTTTATATTCCCAACAGTCTCACATACCACCACTAATGATATGAGGACAAACAATATACTTTATTGGCTACTTGCTAACAGAAAATATACAATAAGTAATTGATAATTATCATCATCATCCTTTAATCTACAAAACTACCCTGGGAGGTAATTATTATCCCATTTTATAAACAGAAAACTGAATTTTACAAAGGGGTTAAGAACCTGAACAACAACAAAAAAAGATGGTAAGTGGTAAGGGGAAGAGAAGAGATCAGAACTCTGCTTCCAAAACTTAAGCTTTTTTCCACTGACCAAACATACTCAATGTACCATCTACAAAAGCATACCACAGTTACCATTCTCTTCACAATCAAATAAATTACATGTTATTAAGGAAGCTGTGCTAGTCACTATGCATGCCTGAAATAATACAATATTGCTTTTGGAAATGCCTTGGTGGATTTAAGTCAACAACTATCAAGCCCTTGCTATGTACAACGCAAAACATAAGACACTGACAATAAGATGAATAAATCCTAGGCCCATCCATCAGGCAGCTCACTTTCTGGATGGAGCAGAGATAAAGTGAGTGCATGGTTAGAGCCATGGAGAGGCTCTAAGTAGGAAGGTGCATGGGTGAATATGAGAGGTTACATCTTCATGAGTGTATCTGACCGATCCCCCCACCAGGGGAGGTGACCCAGGGGAAAGGATTTGTGAGGCTATCCTCGACACTGTTCTGACTCAGGTTAATGGCTCTTGCTTCAAAATTCCTACAGCTTTTAGGGCCTTAATCCTTGATGGTAGCATTCCAGACAGGCTGGTATTTGGCAGCTGGCCTAAAAGCCTGTGACCACTGAATATAAATTCAATTTATGTAGTTAATTAGTATTTCCTTTTGAATCTTGCTAAGAATTAAAATTGGATGGTTGTTAGATGAATTTTTATTGAGATATAATTCACAGTCCATAAAATTCACCATTTTAAAGTATACAATTTAGTAGTTTATTTTTAGTATAGTGATATGGTTATACCATCATCACCATTAATTCCAGAATGTTTTCATCACCCCAAAACGAAATCTCATACCTATTAGCAGAGACTCCCCATTCCCCCTCCTCTCATCACTTGGCAACAACTAATCTGTTTTCTGTCTCTATGGATTTGTCTATTCTGGACTTTTCATATAAATGGAATCATACTAGGTGACTTTTAAAACGTAAATGTATATATAAACACGTGTCCAGATAAGAAAGTCTAGTAATTGTAGTTTCTGTGGTCTCTAGTTTTGCTATACATTGATCATCTAAGAACAAATTCCCTCTTCACAATGGCAAAATGAACTGCAAAATTGAAATTAATGAACTCTCTAGTCCTTTGGGTCCTAAAAACAGCAGAAGGAAAGCAAAAGCACCTCCAGAGATTATTTTCTCTTCCTTGTACTTAAATGATTTGTCGTAACTGATCTTTAGTAAAAGGTTAAACAATTCAAGATGAAGGACCTCATAAATTCTTTTTTTTTTTTGAGACAGAGTCTTGCTCTGTCACCCAGGCTGGAGTGCAGTGGCGTGATCTCAGCTGACTGCAACCTTTGCCTCCCGAATTCAAGCAATTCTCCTGCCTCAATCTCCCGAGTAGCTGGGACTACAGGTGCATGCTGTCATGCCCAACTAATTTTTTTTTTGTATTTTAGTAGTGATGGGGTTTCACTTTGTTGGCCAGACTGGTTTCGAACTCCTGAGCTCAGGCAGTCTACCTGCCCTGGCCTCCCAAAGTACTAGGATTATAGGCATGAGCCACCAAACCCGGCTGGACCTCACAAATTCTAAGAAGCTTTATCAGATCGTCTTCAAAGGCCAAAAGGCGTGCATTTCTTTTATTTACTTATTTATTTTGAGACGGAGTCTTGCTCTGTCACCAGGCTGGAATGCAGTGGCGCAATCTCGGCTCACTGCAATGCCCGCCTTCTGTGTTCAAGATATTCACCTGCCTCAGCCTCCCAACTAGCTGGAATTACAGACATGCGCCACCACACCCAGCTAATTTTTGTATTTTTAGTAGAGACAGGTTTCACCATGTTGGCCAGAATGGTCTCAATTTCTTAACCTCATGATCCACCCGCCTTGGCCCCCTCAAGTGCTGGGATTACAGGTGTGAGCCACGGTGCCCAGTCAAGGCTTGCATTTCTTAGAATTCTTTTCAGGATACAAAGAACCTCCATTAAATTAAACATAAAATCCTTAGTGTCTGAAGATTTTAAATACCAAAGACTCAATTTTTTTTTTTAAGCCAGGCTAACAATGCTCAGTAAACAAGGCAACAAGACCAACACACATACTGACTCTAGGCAAACCTTAAAATTTTAAGTAAGAGCTAATGTTATTTTTCTTATTAAATGCAAACTGGCAGTATGTTCTACTACTGAGAATTCTCAGTACAGAAAGTGTACTGATGCTCAAGTAACTAGAAATCTTTAGCAATACTTACAATTTATCTTAGTAAAGAACCTATAGAATTACTGAAATGTATAGACAACTTATTAATGCCAAAGTGAGCCAAGTAATCTGACAAAGAATTTTTTAAACATTTTCCTGTCACTTCCACTATTACATAGAAAGCATCATAACTTGTTAGAAAATGTGTTCCTTGTACATAGCCACCCACTGGTCTTGTCTGATTCCTATCATAACCTCCTTTGCCTTGGGCAATAAATCAGAGCCCTCCTCCACATCTAGGAGGAACAGTGGGAGGCTGGGGAAGAACTTGGCAAAAAAAAACAAAGTGGGAAAGAGGATTAATATCCAAAGCTGATGATGCTGTGGTGAAACAATGCACTTAATACATAGCAACATTACTGTGTTTATATGCCTGCTTGAATGAACTTATTCTAAAGAAGTAAAATGAGCAGGAAAAAAATATCAATATGGCCAATACTGTATTTTTTCAATATACTACAGTTTTTCTGTCTTTTTTTTGAGATAGGGTCTCACTCTTCTGTCCAGGCTGGAGTGCAGCAGTGCAATCACGGCTTGCTGCAGCCTCAATCTCCCAGGCTCAGATGATCTTCCCACCTCAGCTCCCCAGTAGCTGGAACCACAGGAAGGTGCCACTACACCTGGCTAATTTTTGTATTTTTTTGTAGTGACAAGGTGTCACCATATTTGTTGCTCAGGCTGGTCTCAAACTCTTGGCCTCAAGCGATCTACCTGCCTCAGCCTCCCAAAGTGCTGGGATTACAGGCATAAGCCAATGTGCCCAGACTAGCATTTTTTATAATAGAATATTAGAAATCACCTATATACAACAGGAATCTATAGAACATATATTTGACAGAATGTTATACAGTCAATATAATAATAAAGGATATAAATTAGTTTTATATACAGATATGTGTGTATATATATTACACACCTGTGTGTGCACTGTGTGTGTGCATGAGTGTTTGTATAGCTGGTATCTGTGTGTGTGCATGCACACATGCACACGCGCACTGGTATTACTATAACCAACATTTACCTTTTCCCTACTTTCCCCTCACCGAGGCCAGGTCCTTCCGTCTACATCCTACCCCTTCTTCACTGGGCAGCACATGTTACTCTAATACAATTTTCTTTTCAAGGCTGCCCTTAATGTTCATGTAATTAGATTTTGCTTATAGAAAACATTTTTTGTCTTTAAAAAAAACAAAAACAAAAACAAAAACAAAACAAGGAATTGTGTGGTCAAGCTATGCAGTGTGATTTCCCCTAATCCAGAAGCCCCTTTCCTTTATTCGGATGAACCTCTGTAGGGCAGTATTTAACAAAAGCATTACCAACAATGAAACCACATTCCCTGAACCTGACTTTATCATGCCCTGAATAAGAGGTGGGTCACTGTGTTACATAAACTATGCAGTTACTTTCAATATGATCTCTAGGGATGAATTACGTCAGCACTGGTAATAGGTGTCAGCACTATCTGGCCTCTAATCAAATGAGCATTAACAGCTATAATTTAAATAACAGAAGGTAGCAGCTTCGAAGAGGAGAGCAGACTGTTCTACTGGTACACTGGGCTGAGCCAGGGAATCTCACCAGCCTCCGTGCAACCGAGAGCCCGTTTACTTACTGCAAATGTCAAGAGGAGGAACTTGTTGAGGAGTACAGGGTTTTCAAGAGCAGCGCCTGATTTTATGGATTCCCATATCTGCCAGAAGAAGAAAAGCATCAAGTCAGGTTACCAGGCATCTCTGAGCTTCTCACTCTCAGGTGAAGTGTGGAGCTGAAAAGCACGCTCTTCTTTCCTACAGGCCCAGCACTACTTACCCCAAACAATGAAGTGGGTTGTTACCTAACTCTGCCCACTTCACACTGCCTCTCTCCCAGCCACACTCCCTTCAGCACCTAAGCCAAGTGAGGGAACCCAGGTGCCTCATCTCAGCAGATTTCGGCAGCACAGACGAGCCAAGCAGGCCATTTTCATGCCTCCACAATCTCCTTCAGCAAATATTTATTCATTGTCTACTATATACGGGCACATCAGGGTTACAGCAATAAAAGACACAGTCAGTCCCTACCCCCAAGACACTCGCAATCTAGAGAGAGAGTCCAGCATAAACGTGTAACTTCAGCGCCATGTAGGATTTGCTGTCAAAGTAGGTATAATTTATGGGAGGAATTCTCTGCAGACTCAGCTGGGGAAGTGGGAGGGTAAAGAGCATGGGGGGGGATCTTAAAGGAAGTGCTGTGAAATATACATGGGGGGTTCTTAAAGCCTTGAAATTATCTTGCCCTGAGAGATGAAGAAAGAAGAACAAACTTCGTTTATGTATACTCAGCAAGTACTGAGACTAGGAGCAAATGCTGGTGCTGGTCAGCAGCTGCGGATCACAAGATGTTTTTGTAGCTAAGATTTGTAGCTAAACTTGGTGTTACTAAGCAAGACAAAACAGTTGCACTAAGTATGGGTGGAAGAGGGAAGTAAGCAAGCAGAAGTAACTTCCTGCTACTGACATACTGGCCTTGAAGGAGCTGGATCACTGAAGAGAGGCCCCCAATTTCTGGTAAGCCAAAGGGGTGTGGAGCAGGAGGTGCCAGGAGAACTCGGCCCCAGTTGAGGGGTGGGATATTTCTGTGGGGAGGAACCTGCTTTTTTCCAAGACGATTAAGGCCTGAACCAACTCTTTGGAGACTCCCTTTCAAATGTGCACCCAAGCAAGGCAGGAGTCCCAGGAGCAGTCAAGCTACTGGGCAAGAAAAACCACCATCCTCACCATCCATCCCAAGGGTTGTGAAGGAAGCCAGCCTCAGGACCTGACCACTGCACCCACACCAACAAGACTCATGTCGTAATAAAGACTGGTATAAAGACTCATCAATTAAAGGGGTGAGACAGGATTGAAATAAACTGCATTTTAATTCCTCTCACTAACTCCAATGTAAAGAAGCAAAGGAAAGACATTCCAGGAAGAGAGGACATTGTGTTCCCAAGGAGAGAGGACAGAACAGAAAGTAGGTGGAGGGAATTACTGTGATTTGCTGTGACAGAGTCAGAGAATGCAAGGGCAAGACTTACAGGTCAGAAGGGCCAAAGAGGTAAACAGGGTCAGGCCACAGAGGCCTTGAAAATCAGATGCAGTAGATTAGATAAGTGAAGACACTGGAGAGACTACATGATAATCTCCTATGCCACCACGTGCACAGGATTGCCAAGCCTCTTCCAAGGTACAAGGAACAGAGTGCCCAGAGGCATTCAGCCACAGAAATGCAACTCTCAGAGGTCTAGTGGCTTCAAAATGCTGGCTGGAGAGGAGCAGCAAACTGATTACTTAACCTCTTCCCTGCCTTGTTATTTCCAGTCTATCCCAGGTGAGAGCCTGGATGTCTTCTCCCTGACCTTCCTGCCAACACAGGAGACAGCTGGGAGTATTCTCTCTGGGGAAATATACCAAAGCCCACAAGTGTTTTTAAGTTCCTATCATATGCCAGTTTCTGCAGCAGAACCTTGTGCCTGATCATAAACACTGTACCTGCCAGGACCACAGGAAATATGACACATACATCACATTTTCCCAGCTAACCTCATTTGCTGCTTGTTCCAAAAGGAGCTTCTTATCTGCAGTCTTGAAAGACTCGAGTGTGTTGGTGTTATAGAGTGTTCCAACAGCTGGGCAGCAACGGGCTGGGGTGGGAGCACTCCTAGACACAAGAGAAACACGGTTAGGCAGGCAGTTGGGACTTAGAGAGCCAGAGAAAGACAAGTCAACCACCATGGTAGTGGGAGAAAAGGGGTATTGCTCTATAGGGCAAACAGAAGATTAACTGTATGTTTTCTTGGAAAAAGATGAATATCATCAATCAAGGACTTAAAAACAGGCACCATTCCCCTCCAAAAGCCTATATACTCCCTGTACTCTAACCTATCAGGATGCTGTTCTTCCACCGTTCCCCAAAGAGAAGTTCATTTCCTATTTTTTCTCCTTTAACATCTTTAACCAGAGGGAAATATTATTTGTTGAGCCAGGAACTGTGCACAGTTTGAATTCTCATAACAGCTCTTTTCCCCCATTTAAAGGTTTAAGCAACTAGCCTAAGGTCACATAATAGCCAGAGCTTGAATCTAAAACAAAAGCTAGCTGAGTCCAAAGGTACTGTGCTGTGCCCTCCCTACCTCTCAGACCTTCCCAGGCTCTAATCTCTCCTCTTCCACAAAGCTATCTCTATTTTCCCTGCTAAGAGTTGGCACATAAAACTCAGCATAATATTTTCGAGAACTACAGTCATACCCATCCAGCTGTAGGACAGTAAGCTCCGTGAGGACAGGAGGTATGTGTTCTCATGACTGTCCTACAACCTAGCCTGCCCCAAACGGGGCTCTGCACAGAGTTATTGCTGAGCAAGGCCCTGAGGATTGAGTCTAACAGACAAAATCTTTCACACCTGGGCTACCTGTCAATCTGTCATGCCACCAGGTTCACACACTCTACATTGCCTCCAAAGGCCTCACAGTCATCAGAGTAAGCAAAGTCAGGAAAAGAGGAGTTGATTCTGAATATGAATTCAGATGAGGACAAATCTGGTTTCTTCTCTGAAATGATTAACTTGCATTTCAGAGGTTACAGATGTTACATGAAAATATTCATTTCATTAGCAGCCTACTATTGCTGTCATAATTAATGCAGAGAGAATGCCTTTTTATTGATTGCACTGATGATAGCTATATGGTTTAGAAGAACCTGTGTCTTTTCATTTAGAATCCATGTAAAAGTGGGTTTATGGGGCTGAAGGAGTAGAAGTCTAAACCTAGAACAGGTATGAAGGGGTGCAATGAATGACACGATTCTGTCAAATGCTGTCTATCAGGCTCAAATGCCAAGCCCCCGGAGAGAGCTAGCTTTCAATGACCAGAGCCTTCCCTTGAGAGCTATGAGTCAGCAAATCACAGGTGGTTTGTCACCATGCTCCTTCAATAAAAGAATATTTTTCATCCAGGTGAGATGGGAACATCCAAGCTGTCTTGAAGAGAGAGAAATCACAAAGGGAAAAGATTAAGCCCAGAGGAAAGGCAAAGAAAGCAGAGCAGTTGGTAAACTAGGCCTTCTACATTCAGACTTGGCTTTACGAAACCGCTGCTGAAACAGGATGTGGAAACAGAAGGAAGGATGCTATGATCTAATTTGGACACAAGCACAGAGGAGGAAAGTGCCCTTCCTCCCAAACTTCCCAGGTGTGTGAAAGCAATACCAAAGCCTCACTCTGTGAAGAGAAAACTGCATACCAAGAGCTCAAGCAACTGCAAGACGGCTAGGCTCGTAGGAGCATCAGCACTTATGCAAGTTAATTAGCCAGGACAATCTGAAGCTTCAAACGAGAAGCATTTTTCATGACTAAAGTTCCATCATGGAAGGTGGCAGGAAAATGAATTTAAAAAGTGATAATGAGAGGAAAGGAGCCTGAGACTTAGAGACAAGAGAATTTAGATCAAATCTTGGTTCTGACACTTACTAGTTTAGTTTCCTATGGTTCCATTTATATGAAATGTGCAGAATAGGCAAATCCTTAAGAGACAGAAAGTAGTTATGGTTGGCTAGGACTGACGAGTATGGAGTGGGGGGATGGGGAGTCACTGCCAAGGGTGTCTTTTTTGGGAGATGAAAATGTTCTGGAATTAGTAGTGATGGTTGCAAGACTCTGTGAATCTACTAAAAACCAATGAATTGTACAGTTTAAAGGGGTGAATTTTATCGTGTGTGAATTATATCTCAACATAGCTGCTAAAAATAATCTGAATTAGAAATTTCTCCACATACTAAGGCTAACAGTGAACTCACAATAATATACATACTAACCTGTATTACAGCTAGATGCTTGGCCTTCACTCAATCTCACAGTGATGACTCAGGAAAGTGCTGGGGCTGTGTTGCACCAGTTATTTACGTTTGGCCAACAGGCAGGCAGGTGGTCAGAATGGAATAAATCCTATGGAAGAGCACAGGTGCTCTTTATACCTGGAGGAATCTACTTCACACACACCCACAGGGAATGTTGGGAACCCAGAAAGTCACACTCAGTTGGGGGTCATGCTTCTTTATCCTCTCCAGATTTCCCTAGCAATCACAGAGTTTCTGTTTCTAACAAACATTCTCTAACATGGTCCACTGGCATCTTTCCATCAACCACACTGCATGCCCATTTTGACAGCCACACACTTAGACTGCTTGTAATTCAATTAGATGGTTACTTGAGCAAATAGTACATTCCAGATCTGTGTTGGGTGTTGGTAATATAGCAGAGAATAAGACAGACACAGCCTCTGCCCTGTATTTATGAGTTGGTGCATGACTCCTACTTCCTTCACTACCTTTTCAGTTCTTTGAGGGCAAGAATTATGCCTTCAATTTCTCTAATTAGGTCCAACTTGAGGCTTACAAAAGAAAAATACTTCTTATGAATAAAGACAAACATTCTTCAAGGGAAAGAAACCCACAGAAATGTTCTTCATTCAAATGTTGATCATTCGAGGCTCAGAAAGGAAAATTATTTATCAGCTTCACACTGGTATAGAGATTGTCAATCAAAATCTATTTTCCTCGTCAGCAGAAATAGAAAGCATATATGATGTTTTTAACTGGGTTCCATAATTCCCAGTCTTCTTTGCAAGACAGGTGAGGCCATGAGCTCTCCTCAGTAGAATCTGAGTGTCCCTTCCCGCTAGGGCATTTAACAGACTGTGTATCTCTTCCACCTATTTGCACCTTGGCTCTCTTTCCACATTAATCAGTTGTTACCTGAAAGTGACAACTATCTTAATCAGCACGCAAATGCAAAGTCCTCAGGGATGATGGAATCACAACATGGAAGAAGACTGAACCAGCAGCCCTAGGCTATTCGATGAGCAAGAAATGAACTTCCTTTGTGTTTGGGCCCTTATATTTTTGGGTCTGATTCAGCAGGACACCCTACCTCAAGACACATCCTCCAGTTTAAGACAGTTGGTGCCTAATAAAATACGACTTGAGTGACAATTCATCTAATCCAATTCAGAGAACAGGATCCTTGTGCTGCTGCCTGCAGAGATCCTTAAGACTCCCAGGGACTCAAAGTAAAAGGAACTTACCCGGTGCTATGCAAAGCTGAGATACTCTTGACATCTACAAGTGAGTATTAGGGTTGTTAGCTCTTCAACTGTATCTTATTCCTGTCTCTATGCCCAGCACCTAGCACAGTCTATTATCAAGACACAGAGGAAGCAATCAGTAAGTTTTCCTGAGATAATGATTACCTCTTCATGCTTATTACAGCACAGAGCACACTATAATGCAAATATATGCCTTCTACTTCTCTCTTTCATTACAGTAGAGGAGCTCTGGAGAACCTATTTCACAAGTCTTTGTATTCCTAATACCTACACATTTGCACATTGTAGATATTTCTTCTTTGATAAATAAATTCATAAACAATTTCTCTACTAATCCATGCAGATATACAGCAATCAAAACAAAGATGGGGTAATAATAAAGGAAATAATTTGGAATAAAGAAATCAGGTCTTCTGAGAAGTCCCAAGCACTTTCATTAACCTTCCCAGCCATCCTCATAGGGACTCAGAAAGTAACAGACTTTTAAAACTGGAAGGAACATTAGAAAGCAAGAACCCATTTTAAAGATGAGGAAACAAAAGTTGAGAAAACTAAAAGAGCTTATTGAAGAAGGACAGTTAATTAGCAATAGATTCTAAGTCTTCAAACTTCAAATCTAGGGCTATTTTCAGAACACTGGGGACCATGTCTTATTCCTGCTTACCTCCCACCGTCTACCACAGTGCCTCGCACACTGAGGGTATTCAATGGTTAAAGAAAAAATATGGTGAGTGAAAATGAGCAACTTGTGTGAAAGTCATAGCTGCACGATCACAGATTTTCTTATCTCCTTCAACCCAAATTTTTAGATTACTGAAGTTTAAGATGCTCACATTTTAATAATAAGTTCAAACCTAACTTCTGTGAACTGCTTGTTTCTAATTATTCTAAAGAATATAATTATTAAAGCCTTAAAAAACAAACAAAACTTCAGTACAGTAGAAGAATAAGGACAGGAGTGAGGTTAGTCTGAGACAAATATGAGGCTCCCCAGATTACACAAAACAGACTGTTGATGCTCCCCACGTACCATCTTCACACAAATTAATACTTGTACATTTCCAGTATTTTCCTTGCTAAATCTTAATGGCTCCAAAATAAGTTGGTTTGCCAAAACTAGAGAGAGATTATTAGAATTTAATTTCTTTTGACAGGTAACCACAAGGAATTTACGATGGAGCAAGAAAGCTCCGAAGGGAACAAGAAACACCAACACATACATTTTTAAAGATACAAATACTAACATCATTGTGGATGTATGTCATGCTTTCAAATTTTGCAAGTGGATTGAGATAAAAGAAAAAAAATATTGATTTTCTGAGATTAAAAAGAATTCTAGGGACATTTTAAATATCCTAATATTTTACTATTGCCACTTTCAAAAGCCAGAAAGATCTTAAAGACTTCATCTTCCTAAAATTCTCCATTTTGATGCTGCTGAGGTACAATAAGCAGAAAAACACTGTAGCCTTTTTCAATTCTCAATAATCTTAAAGGCCCTCAACATGGTTTCAGCTCCACCCTCTTTCTCAAACTGAATTCTTAAGGACCACTAAGACTTAATCAACAAACACAATGGCCCTCAAATTGACCTCTGTGCTTCTGACACTGCTATCTTCCCTTTCCTTCCTGAAAGCATTTCCTTCTTTGGTTTCTGTAACACTTTTCTGGTTTTCCTCTGACAACCCCTGTGTCCTTTGCTAGTTCTCTATGTCTTTCACCTCCCTAATCAGAGGCATCCACTGTTTGCACCTTTTGTTGCAACAAGGCTTGATGGAGAACGAGCGCATCCCAATGACAGAAGTACTCTTCAAGGAATGGATAATAACAAACTTCGGTGAGTTAAAAGAACATGTTGCAGCCCAACGTAAAGAAACTAGGAACTTTGAAAAAAGGTTTGATGAAATCCTATTGAGAACAGACAACTTAGAGAGGAGTATGAGTGAATTAATGGATCTGAAGAATACAGTACAGGAACTCCCAGAAGTATGCACAGGTTTAAACACTCGAATTATTCAAGCAGAAGAAGGGATATCAGAGGTCAAAATCCAACTTAATGAAATAAAACAAGAAGACAAGATTAGAGAAAAAAGGATAAAAAGGAATGAGCAAAGTCTCCAAGAAATGTGGGACTATGTGAAAAGACCAAATTTACGTTTGATAGGTGTACCTGAATGCGACGGAGAGAATGAATCCAAGCTGGAAAATACCCTTCAGGATATTATTCAGGAACATTTTCCTAAACTAGCAAAGCAGGTCAATATTCAACCCCAGGTAATACAGAGAACACCACAAAGATATTCCGCAAGAAGAGCAACCCCAAGGCACATAGTCGTTAGATTCACCAGGGTTGAAATGAAGGAGAAAATACTAAGGGCAGCCAGAGAGAAAGGTCAGGTTACCCACAAAGGCAAGCCTATCAGACTTACAGCAGATCTCTCAGCAGAAACTCTACAAGCCAGAAGAGAGTGGGGGCCAATATTCAACATCCTCAAAGAACAGAACCTTCAGCCCAGAATTTCATATCCAGCCAAACTAAACTTCACAACTGAAGGAAAAATAAAATCTTTTATGAACAAGCAAGAAGAACTCAGATTTTATTACCACCAGGCCTGCTTTACAAGAGCTTCTGGAAGAAGGATTACACACAGAAAGAAACAACCAGTATTAGCCTTCCTAAAAGTATACCAAAAAGTAAAGAGCACCAACATAAAGAAGAATTTACACCAACGAATGGATAAAACAGCCAGTTAACATCAAATGGCAGTAACCCTAAATTTAAATCAACTAAATCCCCCAATCAAAAGACATAGCCAAAACCCAACGGCATGTTAGATCCAGACCTGTTTCACATGCAAGGATACACAAAGACTCAAAACAAAGGGATGGAGAAAGATTTACCAACCAAATGGAGAGCAAAAATAAATAATAAATGAATAAAAAGCAGGAGTTGCAAATCTCGTATCGGATAAAATAGATTTTAAAGCAACAAAGATACAGTGGTAAAAGGATCAATGCAACAACAAGAGCTAACAATCCTAACACCCAGATACATAAAGACTTAGACTCAATGAGACAGAAAATTAATAAGGATATCAAGGACTCAAACTCAGATCCAGAACAAGTAAACTAAATCAATATTTATAGAGCTCCCCACTTCAAATACACAAAATATACATTCTTGTCAATACCACATCACACCTACTCATAAGTTTAAATGAAACATTGATTGGCCATTATTAATACCCAATTTTTTTCAGAATAAAGCAATATTTCCGTTTACTCTCCCTCTTTCTCTTCTTCTTTCTTCCTCTCCTTTACTTATTTTTTTTTTTCTTTCCTTCTCTCAAAAAAAGAAATCAACTTGTAAACCTCTAGATCCAGGTCGGCAATGTCTCTCTCATTGCTTGATTTCCTTCCTTCCCTTGCCTCCCTCCCTCCCTTCCTCCCTCCCCCCTTCTTCCCTTCCTTCCTTCCTTCATCCCTTCCTTCCTCCCTACCGTCCTCCTTCCCTCCCTTCCTGCCTTCCTCACCCCCCCACAAAAAAAAAAATAAAAAAAAAAAAAAATAAATAAATACACTTTTTTCTCTCACCCCTGCATTCTAAATTTGGCTACATATGACCCTGGGCAAGCCACTTTTACCTTTCGTTCCATGGTTTCCTCAACTGAACAAGAGAGAAAAATCACACCTGGCAAGTCTGCAGGAACAGATGTTTATGAAAATGCCTAGCTAATTAAGTGCTCAATATATGTGTCTCTTGGCTGGGTGTGGTGACTCAATCCTATAATCCCAGCACTTTGGGAGGCTAAGGCAGGCGAATCACTTGAGGTCAGGATTTCAAGACCAGCCTGGCCAATATGGTGAAACACTGTCTCTACCAAAAAATACAAAACTTAGCCAGGTGTAATGATGCATGCTTGTAATTCCAGCTACTTGGGAGGCTGAGGAACAAGAATCGCTTGAACTCAGGAAGCGGAGGTTACAGTGAGCTGAGATTATGCCACTGCATTCCAGCCTGGGCGACAGAGTAAGACTCTGTCAAAAAAAATATATGTGACTCCTTTTTCCAGCAACTCGCCACAGTTCCCAAGCAGATAAAAAAAAAAATTCTTTGAGGATGTATCTATCATTTTCCTTTGTATACCACCATAATGCCTTGCACAGTGGCTTGTATACAGAATTTGCCTAATAAACATTCATTGATCAATGCCCATGAACAAGCAACTAAAGGAGTAAACCGTGAGGTATCAATAAAAGATCACAAAATATTAACTACAATCAAAACCAAGAGGGATATCATCTATGTTTCATTCTAGATGGCACCTGGTACCTAATAGACTCTGATAAATATGTGGTGAAAAATTAACCAGACAGACCTACGCACCTAGCATTCATCTCTATGGGAGGTATGAGAATTGTGAGGGGCTGACTCTGCACACCGGGTGCTTCCCTAGTTCCTCCTGTGGTCCACCTATGAGGGAGGTAAGCATGCTCATTCCTCGCCAAAAGCCGTGTTCTTTACTTCAGATTTTGAACAAATAAATACTCACGTGTCAAAAGCACTGAACTCCAATGTTAAGCGAGCTGGCAGCCCAGCAGAGTCACCTGGACGGAAGCATTATCACATTTTCAATGACAAGTCAGAAATAGCAGCATTCATAACAAAAATGCTTATGAATAGTTTTGTTCTCTTTGTTGAGCCCAAGGCACCCCATCCAATTTATGATTATCTATGATACATAGATAATATATGTATGGATAGATAATGGCAGAATGTGAAAGAGATCTTGTGAATATGAGGCATTTGCCAAGAATATAAAAAAGATTCAATGGAAAAAAAAATTTCCAGTCTCTTCCCCCAACAATGCTAAGTAATGGGTATTATTTGGATTAGTAATTTTGAGTTTCTCTATTCTCTTTCTTTTTCCCCACAACAAGAGAAAAGAAATGAAAATGAACAGGGATCAAACAGTCAGGAAGTAAAATAGAAACTAGTGAAGAGCACTGATTATAAAAGACATGGCAGTCCCTTTCTACAGGAAAACTGACACTATACTAGAGGACAGAGGATAACAGAAGATGATAGAAAATGAAATTTACTATTACCTACCATTGTAGTAATAACCCTTAATGTCCTTGGGAGCTTCATCCAGCCGATACTCATTCAGCTTCTTCTGGGTCAACTCATGCCAGAACCCAACATCCAAGGCACTGCTAAAGGGGGCAAACTGCAGTTTAGAGAGTCCAGGATCCTCTGTAGTTGCTGCCATTATTTCTTGCCTACTAAAAAACAAAACGGAACACAGTAAAATAACATATCCATGCAAAAGCTCATGAGATAGAACATTTGTAATAAAGCTTAATTCAAACAAAAAGTAATAAGATGTCTACAGGATATCTTAAGACACGACTTCTTTTTGGATTGTGGTAAGAAACATGGAACATACACGTTACCATCTAGATTATTTCAAAGTATACAGTTAGGTGGCATTAAGTATAATAATCACAATGTTGTAAAACAGATCTCCAGAACTTTTTCATCTTGCAAAACTGGAACTCTATACTCTTTAAACAATAACTCCCCATTTCCTCTCCCCCAGGACCTTGCACCCACCATTCTACTTTCTGTCCATATGGGTTTGACTACTTCATGTAAATGGAATCATGCAGTATTTGTGTTTTTGTAACTGGCTTATTTCACTTGAGACACAACTCTGGAACACAGGGAGGGGAACGTCACATACTGGGGCCTGTTGGAGGGTAGGGGGATAGGGGAGGGATAGCAGGGGGTAAGGGGATAGAAGAGGGATAGCATTAGGAGAAATACCTAGTATAGAATGCGGGGTGATGGATGCAGCAAACCACTATGGCATGTGTATACCTATGTAACAAACCTGCATGTTCTGCACAAGTACCCCAGAACTTAAAGTATAATAATTTAAAAAAAGAAAAACAAAAAAGACACAATTTTGAAAACTATCCTAATTGGCCTATGTTGCCAAGCTGATTCTCCTCATGACAGTGATTTTTCTAAGCAACGCTTTCTGGCCTTAATGTTTATGCTTCTTCCTTCCTTATTTGAGTCAGTCTCAAATAAGGACTAATGATGTACTACTGCTATTCCTTATTTGACACAGTCACTATCTCAGAAGCTTTTGTCATCTTGTGTGGTCCTAGAGAACTCCGCAAGTACAAAATCCTAAATCTGGCCGCTCGGAAATGCAACAAACCAAACTGCCAGAATTCTATCTGTATGAGAGCAGTGCTTTAGCACCTCTAGATGAGGCAGATAATGAAGGATGTGTTTCTCCCCACCTCCTACAGTGCCTACATTTCTTTGAAATCTCATGTTTTATCTTTTCAGTGCATGGAAATTTCGCATTTTATGCCATGATACATATGTTATTATTTCATTTTCCCCCTCAAATTATCAGATAAATTTGACCTTCCTGGCAATCACGCACATGTATGCTGTTAACTTTCTATAATCCCTCCACACTCTCAGGGGTAACACACCCCAGTTTGAGAAGCATAATACTAAAGAAATCTGGCAGCTCCAAAAAGCAAATTTATGAGGTCCCTTCACTTTCCATTCTGTCCAATTACCCCACAACCAGACATATGAGTATTTCTGCAGCGGAACCTATGAATAATCACAGTAAATGGGATATATTTTTTTTTTTTTTGAGACAGGGTCACGTTTTGCTGCCCAGGCTGCAGTACATTGGCACAATCTCAGCTCGCTGCAACCTTAGTCTCCCAAGCTTAAGCAATCTTCCCACCTCAGCCTCCCGAGTGGCTGAGACTACAGGCATGTGCCACCATGCCTGGCTAATTTTTCTGTATTTTCAGTACAGGCCAGGTCTTGCCATGTCACCCAGGCTGGTCTTGAGCTCCTGGACTCATGATCCTCCTGCCTTGGCCTTGCTGGGATTACAGGCATGAGCCACTGCACATGGCCAAATAGGATACATATTTAAAATACAGCTCACGTCTAATCAAGGAGGTTTTGCTTGAGTTCTCCACCAAGACTATATTAAAAAGCTTTCAGTTTTCCAAACTTGTTGGATTTAGAATTAGAGATAAGGAGTTTTGGATTGATAGAAACTGTGTTATGAAATACAAAGTTAGTGCTCTACATAAAAGGTATTCAAATCAAGAAGAAGGGGATGAATGTGAAACAGAGCCCTAGGAAAGGCTCCATGAAGAAGATAAGCACTGAGTGATATTGGATAGGATGGGTAAGGGGTGAGGGAATATGGGTAGAGGGCAGAAGGAACAAAAAAAGCAGAGGAACAGTCATGGCAGAAATGGGGACATGTGAGACCAGCTGTCCTCATGTGGAGGGTTTGTGCTGTGCAAGACCAGCACACGCACAGCTGAGCAGGATGGGTGAACACCTATGGAGAAGCTTCAAATGAGAGGCTAAAGAATTTCGGAGCAGGAAGCCAGTGGCAGTCCTGCATGGTGAATATGATTCTGCAGCGGCTACAGGGCTTTGAAGGAGGCAGGCAGGAAAATCAAGACTCAAGGATTGATAAATTTCTGAATTAGAGCAGAGGAGTAAGACTGGAAAGAAGGAGACCCTTGTTGGGGCTGATTTAAGAGAAAAGGTGACCTAACTTGGTATCTTGGTAGACTCAAGGAATGAAAGAGAGAACAAAGCCCTTGAGGTGTCAAGCCATGACTGGCCAGGAGAATAACAGCTTAAGTGAAAGACAAGCCCCTTGAGAGGCAAAGCAAGTTTCAGAAGAGTAATAATTAAAGACATTTTCAGCTGTGGACAAGAGCAGGGCAAAGATAAACCAAGGAAACTGGATATGAATACTGAGAGCATAGCTAATACAGGTGAGAATCATCAGTTCTTAGAAGTTACTCAGAGAAAGAAAAGCCCCACAAAGTCCTAAAGAATGTCCACAGTTAGGGAGTAAAAAGAAATAGAATCACTAGGCCAGATATGGTGGCTCACTCCTATAATTCCAGCATTTTGGGAGGCCAAGGTGGGTGGATCCCATGAGGTCAGGAGTTCGGGACCAGCCTTCGACCAACATGGTGAAACCCTGCCTCTACTAAAAATACAAAGTTAGCTGGGCGTGGTGGTGCATACCTGTAATCCCAGTTACTTGGGAGGCTGAAGGAGGACTGCTTGAACATGGGAGGCAGACATTGCAGTGAGCCAAGATATCTTGCCATTGCACTCCAGTCTGGGCAACAAGAGGGAAACTCCATTAAAAAAAAAAAATGAAAAGAAAGAAAGAAAGAAAAACGAAATAGAAACAGTAAAACAAAGCTGTAATTGGTACACCAGGACAGCATATATATCTACCAACCCAAAGCAATAAAAAACTTTGAAAAGAGTAATGATGAATGAACACTAGAAATCAAAGAAAATGACAGGTTAATGCCACTGGATTTTATATTTAAAAGGAGTGTGGCGGTGGCTTTCTAAAGTGCAATTTCGTAGTAGAATTCTCAAAAGAGAACAGGCTGTAAAGGCAGAATCACCACAGGGGAGCAACTGACTTATCCCCAGCAAGTTCCAGGGGGAAGCTTAGATTGCCATTGGATTCCTAATGGGTGGATTGTTGTTCTTGTTTTTCAACAGGGTGAATATGCTTTCCACATTTAAAAAGATGCTTTGGCAACAGAAGTCCAATTTTGAATGAATGAAAGATTCACAATGGGTGCTTAAAAAAAATAAACAGAAGGTATGAGGTGGAAATTATAATAAATATTTTTCTATATAATCGATAAGCTTCATTGATCACAAAAGACAACACATCATTGTTCCTAAAATTCTCCACTGCCTCAGTATGGCTTGCAGCATCACGCCTCACAGTGCCTGACCAAGCATTTTCAAACATTCACCATTGTGAGCACTTATTAAAAATAAGGATGCCTGGGTCTCACCCCTACTTCCTGTGGAGGAAAGAAGATTCAGTAAGAGAAGATGGAATAGTGATGGAGGCCGTAAGTCTGGAGTTTGCCTATTACATCGAGTGATGCTGTTGTGGGTTTGGTGCTATCTTGATGCCTACGGGTCACTGGCACTTATATTTGGAGGCCCCACCTCAAAATCACCTCAAATGTATTTGAATGCATCCTCAACACCTATTAAATATTTTTTGGCTTTTAACTGTTTGAAAGAATTTTTATAATTTTGCCCAATGGCAAACAGGTGATTTAGCCAGGTTCAGTGGGTCATGCTACTTTGGGAGGCCAAGGAGGGGGTTGGAGGGTGGGTGGTGGGAATCACCTGAGGTCAGGAGTTCACGACGATCAGCCTAATCAACATGGTAAAACTCCCAGCTCTAGTAAAAATACAAAAATTAGCCAGGTGTGGTAGAGTGCACCTGTGATTCCAGCTTGGGAGGCTGAGGCACAAGAATCTCTTGAACCTGGGAGGCAGAGGTTGCAGTTGAACTCCAGCACAAGAGCAATACTCCGTCTCCCCACCACCCCCCCGCTCCACCCCCGCCAAAAAAAAAGGAAAAGAAAAAGAAAGAGAAAAACAGAGAAGGGAAAGATGGCGCTGTAGGACCAACTCAGGATTGCAGCTCCCAGTGAAATCGCAGAGGGTGAGTGCACACCGCATTTCCATACGAATCTTTATTGCCCACAGACCAGGTGTAGGAGCTCCACGGGCCGCCAGCACGGCAGATTGGGCTGGCATGGCTGTTTGGGCCAGGTCTGCAGCGCAGCAGCACCCTGTACAAAATACTCTGGTTTGGTTGCCCTGTTAAACCAGCAGTTGGAGATTTTGGAAGGCAGATTAGCACATTCATCTGATTAAACGGGACTTAAACAGAAAGCCAGGCCAGGAGATTTCTGGGCAGCAACACGGTTTGAGCTGGCGCAGTGGGTCGCTGCACGGGAAATCACACAGATCCCAGCGCCCTTGCAGCAGGTGACTGGAACACCTGGGAGAGAGTCAACCATTCAACTTAAAAAAAAAAAGGGCTCTGAGGCAGGGAGCCAGGTGATCAGGCTTGGCAGGTCCCACCCCCACAAAAACAAACAAAACAGCAATTGGAAACACTCGATGTTGAGAGTTTCACGGCAAGCACAGCGGAACTCAGGACAGTGCAGCTTGGTGGGGGAGGGGTGTCTGCCACTACCGAGACTACCGAGGTACTCTGCCATTGCTGAGACAGCCTGCCGTTGCCAAGGCAACCCACCATAACAGAGAGAGTCCGCCACTACAGAGGTGGGCCACCATTGCCACTGCAGTTCTAACCACATCCATATGAACAGGACTACAGGAAAATACACACGGCAGCAGGGCGGAGCCCATGGCAGCAGGGTGGAGCCCACGGCAGCTCAGCATAGCCACTACAGGCAAAAAGTGACTAGACTGCCTCCTTGCTGGGCAGGAAAGTGCAACAGATACTCATAAATAAAGCCCTAACTCACCCAGACAGAGCACCTGAGGAAAAAAAAAAAGGGGGGAGCTTTATGAGTTCTGCTGCAGCAGACTTAAATGTACCTGCCTAGCAGCCCTGAATGAACAACGGAGCTCACAGCTCAGCACTAGAGGTCCTATAAAGTACAGACTGTCTCCTCAAGCAGCTCCCTGACCCCCGTATATCCAAAGAGTCACCTCACAAAGGACTGATCAGACTGACATTTGGCGGGCATTATTCAGGGACAAAGATAGCAGAAGAATCTGGTAGCAACCCTCACAGTTCTGCACCTGCTACAGGAGTTCCCCAGGCAAGCAGGGCCTGGAGTGGACCTCAGCAGTCCTACAGCAGTGGGGCCAGACTATTAGAAGGAAAACTAAGAAACAGAAATACTTCATCATCAACAATCTGGACGTCCACTCAGAGACCCAATCAGAAAATCAGCAACTACTCAGACGACAGGTGGATAAATCCACAAAGATGGGAAGAAACCAGCGCAAAAAGGAGGAAAACACCCAAAACCAGAACACCTCGCCTCCTAGAAAGGACCAAAACTCCTCACCAGCAAGGGAACAAAGCTGGTTGGAGAATGAGAGTGATGAAATGACAGAATCAGACTTCAGAAGGTGGGTAATGAGAAACTTCTGTGAGCTAAAATAACATGTTCTAAATCAATGCAAAGAAACTAAGAACCTCGAAAAAAGATTTGAGGAAATGATAACGAGAATGGACTACTTAGAGAGGAATATGAGTGAATTAAAGGAGCTGAAAAACACAACACGAGAACTTAGCGAAGCATGCACAAGTTTCAACAGCCGAATTGACCAAGCAGAAGAAAGGATATCAGAAGTCGAAGATCAACTCAATGAAATAAAACGAGAAGCCAAGATCAGAGAAAAAAACGCAAAAAGGAATGAACAAAGTCTCCAAAAAATGTGGGACTCTGTGTAAAGACCTAATCTACGTTGGATAGGTGTGCCAGAATGTGATGAAGAGAATGAATCCAAGCTGGAAAATACTCTTCAGGATATTATCCAGGAAAACTTCCCCAAACTAGCAAGGCAGACCAATATTCAAGTCCAGGAAATACAGAGAACACCACAAAGATATTCCGCAAGAAGAGCAACCCCAAGGCACATAATTGTCAGATTCACCAGGGTTGAAATGAAGGAGAAAATACTAAGGGCAGCCAGAGAGAAAGGTCGGGTCACCCACAAAGGAAAGCCCATCAGACTCACAGCAGACCTCTCGGCAGAAACCCTACAAGCCAGAAGAGAGTGGGGGCCAATACTCAACATCCTTAAAGAAAAGAACTTTCAACCCAGAATTTCATATCTAGCCAAACTGAGCTTCATAAGTGAAGGAAAAATAAAATCCTTTGCGAACAAGCAAGTACTCAGAGATTTTGTCACCACCAGGCCTGCTTTACAAGAGCTCCTGAAAGAGGCACTACACATAGAAAGGAACAACCAGTACCAGCCATTCCAAAAACATACCAAGTGGTAAAGAGCATCAACAAAATGAAGAATCTGCATCAACTAACGGGCCAAACAGCCAGCTAGCATCAAAATGGCAGTATCAAATTAACACATAACAATATTAACCCTAAATGTAAATGGGCTAAATGCACCAATCAAAAGACACAGACTGGCAAATTGGATAACAAGCCAAAACCCATCAGTGTGCTGTATCCAGGAAACCCATCTCACATGCAAGGATACACAAAGGCTCAAAATAAAGGGATGGAGGAAGATTTACCAAGCATATGGAGAGCAAAAAAAAGCAGGAGCTGCAATTCTCATCTCTGATAAAATAGACTTTAAAGCAACAAAGATCAAAAGAGACAAAGAAGAACATTACATAATGATAAAAGGATCAATACAACAAGAAGAGCTACCGATCCTAAATATATATGGACCCAATACAGGAGCACCCAGATATATAAGGCAAGTTCTTAACAACTTACAAAGAGACTTAGACTCCCACACAATAACAGTGGGAGACTTTAACACTCCACTGTCAATATTAGATCAATATTAGACTCCTTTTTTTTTCCCTTTCATTAAAATAAAAACCAAGAAAGTAAAAAGAAAAAATCCTTAGCCATCATCTCTTCAAACATTGTTTCCCCATTAAAAAAAAAAAAAAAAAAGACAGATCGACCAGACAGAAAATTAACAAGGATAACCAGGACTTGAACTCAGACCTGGAACAAGCAAACCTGATAGACACTTACAGAACTCTCCACCCCAAATCCACAGAATATACATTCTTGTCAGCACCACATCACACCTACTCTAAAATTGACCACATAATTGGAAGTAAAGCACTCCTCAGCAAATGCAAAACAACTGAAATCATAACAGTCTCTCAGACCATAGTGCAATCAAGTTAGAACTCAGAATTCAGAAACTAACTCAGAACCGCACAGCTTCATGGAAACTGAACAACTGGCTCCTGAATGTTGGTTGGATAAACAATGAAATGAAGGGAGAAATAAAGAAGTTCTTCAAAACCAATGAGAACGAAGACACAACATACCAGAATCTCTGAGACACATTTAAAGCAGTCTCTAGAGGAAAATATATAACAATAAGTGCCCACATGAGAAAAGTGGAGAGATCCAAAATTGACACCCTATCATCAAAATTGAAAGAGCCTGAGGAGCAAGATCAAAAAAACTCAAAACCTAGCAGAAGACAAGAAATAACTAAGATCAGAGCAGAACTGAAGGAGATAGAGACATGAAAAACCCTTCAAAAAATCAATAAATCCAAGAGCTGGTTTTTTTTAAAAGATCAACAAAATAGACCACTAGCCAGACTGATAAAAAAGAAAACAGAGAATAACCAAATAGATGCAATACAAAAGATAAAGGGGAGATCACCACAGATTCCACAGAAATTCAAACCATCATCAGAGAATATTACAAACAACTCTATGCACATAAACTAGTAAACCTGGAAGAAATGGACAAATTCCTGAACACTTGTGTCCTCCCAAGCCTAAACCAGGAGGAAGCCGAAACTATGAATAGACCAATAACAAGGTCTGAAGTTGAGGCAGCAATTAAGAGCCTACCACACAAAAAAAGCCCAGGTCCAGATGGGTTCACAGCCAAATTCTACCAGACACACAAAGAGGAGCTGGTACCATTCCTTCTAAAACTATTCCAAATAATCCAAAAAGAGGGAATCCTTCCCAAATCATTTTATGAGACCAACATCATCCTGATACCAAAACCCAGCAGACTCAACAAGAAAACCTCAGGCCAATATCCATGATGAACATAGATGCAAAAATCTTCAATAAAATACTTGCAATCCAATTGCAACAGCACATCAAAAAGCTTATCCATCATGATCAAGTAGGATTCATCCCAGGGATGCAAGGCTGGTTCAACATATGCAAGTCTATAAACGTAATTCACCACATAAACAGAACCAAAAACAAAAACCACATGATTATCTCAATTGACGCAGAGAAGGCCTTTGATGAAATTCAACAGCCCTTTATGCTAAAAACACTCAATAAACTCGGTATCGATGGAACGTATCTCAAAATAATAAAAGCTATTTATGACAAATCAACAGTCAATATCATACTGAATGGGCAAAAACTGGAAGCATTCCCTTTGAAATCTGGCACTAGACAAGGATGCCCTCTCTCACCACTCCTATTCAATATAGTACTGGAAGTTCTAGCCAGAGCAATCGGGCAAGAAAAAGAAATA